TTTTTTATTTATTTTCTATGAATTTTTTAAGTCTGAAATTTTCCCCCTGTGGGGAAAATTTCAGACTTGATCCAAAATTTTTATTAAAATTTATTCATAAATTGTTTCTAATCTTTTTTTTAAAAATTTTTTTAAAACAAACCTGTCTATCACTAAACAAATTTCATAAGGAATTGTACTTATTAAATGAATCATCTTAGTTAAATTCATAATATTTTTTATCTGATTATACTCAGCTGTTATGTATCTTTGTTTTTCATCTAAACTTTTTATCATTAAAAGCAAACTTATTAAACACTTTGATTCATCTTCTAGATTAGAAAAATTATAAACTTTTCTTAAATTTACTAAGTATTTCTCTTTATAGAATTTAAAATTTTCTATGAATTTAAAAAGATGTGCTTTTACTAATTTTTCTTTTTTAGACACAAGTTGTTTTCTTAATGATCTAATCTTACTAACAGGAATAATATTTAGATAGTAGAAGATTGATTCTTTACTGTAATTTTCACTACTAAATATGTGATTTATACACATCATTCTAATTTCATTATCTGATTCTATTGATTCAATAAAACCTTTAATTTTTATAAATTCCCTAATAAGTAAATTAACATATTTAAACAATTCTGATATGCTAGTTGGATCTTTTATAAAGTCATAGTTATTAAAAATGTTTAATCTATCAACTAATGGATTTGAAATGTTTAAACTTTTATATCTATGAAAACAACCCTTATTAAATGATGTTACATCAACCACATAACTAATAATATTATTAAATATATCAGGTCTTTCAATTATAAGGTTATTTAATTCTAGAAAATAAAATAAACTAATATTATCATTAATATACTTTTGATATTTATAATCAATAGAATATTCTTTTAAAACACATTTAATATAATGTTTAGTGCTAATTATAAACCTAAACATATGTACTGATTCGGTAATACAATCATATGACTCATAAGTCCCAAGATTATAATTCTTATCTCTTTCGTAAGAAATTTCATCCTTTATTTTATCTAAAGAATATTTAATAAAAGATTGAATATCAATATTGATTCTTTTAATAATCTCATTAATAGACTTTTTAAACACATCCAGTGAAAATATTTCCACATCAATATCATTGTTTATACTCATAGGAATTAGTGATTTATATACTAATAAATAATCATCATGGAAAATATCTAATGATCTAAATAAACTTTGTTTCACTTTAATTGGTTTAAATAATTCTAATTCATTTACTGATTGAAAATTTTTTATAATTATTTTTAAAATATCTTTTTTCTTTTTTTCATTCTGATTGTACATAATTAAAAAATACCTTAATAACATAATTTCACTCTCAGAAATATTCATTGAATCTTTATTTCTAGTTAATAAATCATCTCTTAAAATGCTTGAACAGAAAATTAAAAATGTGAAATTTATCAATATCATTTTATGGGTATTAAAGAAAGGAAATTAATTTTATATAAAAACAGGGTTTCCATAATAAACATTTTCAGATTATTCATCTAAATTATTTAAATTTTCATTATGATAGTCAACAATCTTTAAAATAATATTAATTAAGCTTTTAATCACTTTTATCTTAGAAATTAATTTGTTAATTGATTCATTTTTCAATTCATTCATAAGCTTATAAGAAGTTTTGTTTTCTTTTATTAAAACATCAATAACTTCTCTTAAAAAGCAATGAGCTGTTTCATATGCTATGTTTAATTTTTTGATGTATTTCTTAGATCTTTGATATTCTTTTTCTGTATCCGACGTTAGAATTTCTTGAAATACTTCGGGTGTATTTCTATGAATTGATTCTGATTCGATTTCTTGATAAATATGAGGATTTTCAATAGAACAATTTACTGTTAATAATCCAATGAGATTCTTTAATCTAAAAATTTTCATAGTTAAAAAATTAAATTCTTTTTTATATTTTAAAAATTAGAAAGATTATTTATTAGAAAACTTAATTATGTTTTATTACGTAAGATTAGTATAATTTGATTGAATTATTAAAACTTAATTTATTAAAATATTTTAATTAACCTTAAAAATTTTAATTTAAAAATCAAATAATAAATCATTTTCTAATTACATTTAAATTAATCTTAAAATATTTTATTAGAATAATTTCTGAAAAACTTATCTTCTGACTTTTTTACTTTAATTCCATGAATGTGTGAATCTTTACCATCTGTATGATTTAATAAAATAGCAATTTGAATTTTATCTGTTATTGCATCAATTTTAAATTCTACATACCCCTCAGGCTGATTTAAAATTTCAATGTATGAAGAATTATTATAAGAAACTTCTATTTTGTGTGGTGTATAAGACTCATCCTTTTCATATGAAAATTTAAGTTCAACAGAATAAACATACTCTTTTGAATTAAACGTAATTGTGATTCCATGTGGTAAAACTGAATCTGTAGACCAATATTCATTATCATCTTCTGATAGCAATTCTTTTAAGTCATATCCTTTTTTAAAACTACTCAAATACAAATACATTTTTATTAAAATTTTTATTTAAAAAATTCACCATTTTATATTGAAATCTCTTTTCTTTACTTTTTTAAAAATACGTTTGTTAAATGTAAAATTGATTTTCTCAACTGATGTTAGTTCTTCTCTTATTTTATATTCATCCACTTTGTTTTCTTTTAATTGTAAAGGACCATTTATACATCCATTTTCACAAATTCTTAGTCTATAATAGGTATTTAATTTATTTTGAGTTATGTTTTTATTTTGATTTATTAAAAAATTTAATACATTTACTTTCCCACTGATCATTTCTTTATTCCCACTGTAATTATATGATTTTTCTTCATTTTTTATACTCAGATTGTTTAAATTACGTGTATTTATAAAATCTATCAATTCTTTTTCAATTTTAGTATAAAATTCATTAGTTCCAACTAATAAATCAATTTTTGTATTATCTCTGTAAAATTCATCCTTTTTATCATAACATTGTATTATTGAAACTACTTTTGTGTTTTGATCGTTCACTTTCATTAAAAAATCTGCTGCCATTTGTTGATATGTTTTGTTTGTATTAAGATATTTTAATACTTTTGGGTATTGTCTTTCTATATACAGAACCACGGCTGGACATTCTGATGAAATATTATTATCTTCTGGTTTATAAAAATAAGAATAATCTATGATTTTATCTGTATTAAAGAATATTTTTATAAAGTTAATTAGATAAATCTCAAATTCTTTAAAATTAGTTATTTTTTTTATTTTTTGTGTAAGTTGATTATAAATAGAGATTTTAGAATATGGTGATATTATGAAAGAATAACGATCTTTTCTATTTAAACTGTTTATATCTGATTTAAATCTTTCTAATTCATCATTTTCTATACAACCAGTACATGCTAAACAATCATTTAATGTTATTGTTGATGGATCATCTTTAATACATTCTAAATTCATTTAGTTAAATTTTTTATAAAAAAAATTGATTAAATTCTTTAATTGATGTTTGAATGTAAATTAATTTTATTATTTAAAAATTTTATAACTTTTTTAGAAATTTTAATTGTTGTTTGTTATTGCCGTGTTTTACACTAGGGATACGATCCGTGATGACATATTGTGTGAAGTAAGACTTAATCTTACTTGTATCTGTTGCGTTGTTAATAGTGTTGTTGTTTACTA